AGCTTTTCCATTAAAAGTCCCGAACACTGCGGCTAATAATGCACAATGCAGTATTACGTGGGCCAATTTTTTTTCATTTTTTTTTTTTTTTTTTTTTTATAAATGAACGTCATCAGATAACTTATGGTCACTGGTGTTGCGTCGACCAGGTAATCTTTACTTGTTAACAGGTTGAGCGAATTATCCCAACTGCATCATAATCTCTTGGCGCTGGCAATCGATACGATCAGGAACTCGTTTAAAGACATTTTGTGTGGGATCAATTAAAATACTTCAACATGTACGTGAGGAAGTGCAGAAAATTTGTCTGAGAATTTTCGAGTTAGACTCCCAAATAGACTCATTCTATCAGCTTTGGCAAATGTTTTGCCATTTTAGACTACGTGTCATTATTTTAGAAATAAGCCTCTTTGTTTAAGCCTCATATCCATATGAATGTAGGCATCTATTTAGAAATAATACTCCGGGGAATGACATGTGTTCTGGAAAGCTACTGAACATTGATATAATTGGACAGTGCATGTTGGTGGTGCTCATGTATAAGCAGTGGTATAAGTGTCGCCTATAGTTGTGAAGTGCAGTATTCTTTTGCTTCCATTCGTCGTTATATACTACTGACTAGTAAGTGGTGTTGGGTACTGTCATAAGTGCTTATATGGTGGTACGTGAGTATGGATTCTTAACGTATTAGTATGTAGCGGGGGTCTTATGTCTAGACACAAAATGGGGCAAGACTCACAACAAACCACCTCTACCCGTTATATTGTTTGTCACAACCTTTTCTTACTTACATAATCAATACAACACCATGTACCAAAACAAATAAGATTAACAAAAAACATGTCGGGCGTACCCTATCACCATAAAACATAAAAGCTACCATTGCACAAAACCACTCCCAAGGCTATAAATAAAGAAACCACTAGTAATAAACCAAACATCAACACCTCGCTGGGTCATGCGACCACCATTGTAGTGACACAAGTTACTTTACTAGCCGTTCGTCGTTGAAACCTCTGCTGAGCAAGTCAACTATACCAACTGGGTTGAAAACAAAACCGCACCAATATCGATGACCCTATCGACACTATATTAGTATGCGAATATTACCAGCACCCATGTGTCATTGCACGTATTATCTAACAACCTGCGGGGGAACCTCGGAAATTCTTGGACATAAAAAAGAGATTTAAAAAGAAATCCTGAGTGATAGGTCAGTGGAATTGAAGGATTTGAAAGAAATCCAATTGCAAAGTCTTAAGCTAGGATCGTGGATCATCCTCTCCAAAATTGAGTCGAAAAGACATCTCAATGATCTGAGATACAAACGTTTCATGAAATGGCCCGTTTTGGGCGAGATGTTTATAAGAGGGATGAACAAAACTGTTTACAATCCCAACCTTTAGAGTATAGCATTGTATAAGAAAGTTTGGCGCGGCCGCCATGTTGTATGTCAAGAACCGTTCAATGTTATCGTACGTAAAATATTTCAAAAAGCACTATACATTGTTTTGCCCTTCATGATATACTCAACAACATTACTCGATTCTGATCGGAAAAGAGGAGTACAATCAAATCCCAAATTGTACTCTGTCAATTTTTTTGAGCGTATTATAAACAAAAAATCGCACAGTCTTCTCGTACAATTCGCAAATTATAGATACTCGTGATGTTTTGAAAGATCTCAAATTGGACAAGCCTAAAGACTTGTCCAATTTTGAAAACGTCCTCTCGTTCTATATCTTGATCTCGGCTTCAAAGGAAAAAGGTTTTTTAAGAAAAAACACGTAAACACCTTAACACCACATTCCGGCACTTCACAATGTCAATTGGGTGATAAAAGTAGTTTGACAATTCAAGCTAATAAAATCAAAAGAAAGGAAACAAGGAAACAAAAAATAGTTAATTTTATTCATTTATTCATTCATTCATTCAATTCCAGCGCTATCGGATAACCTCGTAAAAAAAGGTGTTTCTGTCTATTCCAAAAGGGGTTAAAGATAGGAACACGAGCTTATCGGTTCTCGATTGTAATAATCAAGTCTTCGCCTCGGCTTTTTATTAAAATTATAAGTTTCCAAACTCGATACTGATGTCTTTGTAAAATAAAGAGTTATTGTCTTGTCACGTCAAAACTAGTACAGATATTAATCAGAAACCACAAAAGATAAAGCTATATAAAATAACACAATTCTTTACATCCTAAACTCTCAGTTTCTAACAAATAAAACTTTGTAAGAAAGGATTTTGAACAATGTGTAAAATGTGCGGTAAAATTGTGAATTGAATTTAACAATAGTGAGCGGTATTGGGTGTGTTGTATTTAATATCGTGTTACGTTATCATGAATAAACTGCCTATTGTAATGGTTCCTGTGCAAGTCAAAGAATAAAGTGTTTTCAATAATTGGTCTAAGTTTTTGACAGATAAATCGCCCTTGATAAGGAAACTTGGCAGTAATCAACAAAACAAACAAAAACTCTTTGACTTGCACAAAAAAAAATTAAGTCATTATTTTGTTATTTGTAACTTTGAGAACATATCTATCATCTAGCAAGACGTATTCCAGAAGTTATACGGTCAATTACTTAAAACTCAGCGAAAACAACAAGAAAATTGAACCCGCATCAAAGTTTCAATAAAATAACTACATTTAAATTTCTATAAATTTTGAAAGTTTTCTAAACGTTTTGGTCGGAAGTGAATTTGCCAGTATGGTTTTTACATAGAATGACGTCACACATACTTTTTAACCGCTAAGCCCATGCCAAAATACCTGAACAACAAATTACTTAACTCGCACAACTAAAATATCTTAGGAGGATTAGCTGTTGTGTACAGAGAAGGGTAAATATGCTCAAGCTAACAAAAAGGTTAAATAAAGCACTCCAAGAAATAATGCATTCCTTTAAAACTGATACAAGTGAAGAGGTCATTCTAGTTTTTTACAGAAGCAATTTCCTGTGGCTTTCTTGGGTAGAAACGTTAAAACAGTAACACTGCTTTGAGTCTTAAGAGAATTTGTTTCGTTTTGCAGTGGGTCTCTATAAATGGCATAAGCCATGTTGCCTTCTTGAATATGCTAATACGAATAAGCCAGTCCATTGATTCTGCAACGACCGTACGCGGTCACATACCAAATCTATAGTACACTTACAGTGGTATCTAGCTTATCCATCGTCCTCCTAGTTAAGATCAACCGATGATTATCCGCTCCTACGATTTCCACTTCAGCCGTGCTGATGGCTCTTTACTTATTTAATCAGAGTTACTAACTCTGATTGAATCAACTAGAGCCGGCGCCCCAGTTTGATATACTTCAGATGATTTCATTTAGTCGATACTAATGATGGGCGAACTATAATGATACTAACTCTCAGCTATCGTAAAACATGTCTCTCACCCTTACCTTAATTAGTCTGCTTGTAGTGGAACCAACGCCAACTCTGGTATTATAGCAAGTTATCTTCAGAATCTAACATAAACTCTATCTGGTTTTGCACATGAGCCAACTTCGTGTGGTCCTAATGAGAAACAAAGGCTATTAATTAAGGGTGACATATCCTATATATAATAAGGTACTCTTATGCAAGTGAGTTTGTTTACACATTCAATTGACTAGTGATTTGTCGATAAATATTCTTTACGAGCTGCCGAAATTGAAAAAACAATTTCAATGCTAGACAACCTGTGCAGTCAGTAAGAAAGGGTGTAATTCATTGTCCCACGCAAAATAACATGATGGTTGATTGTGCAGCAAGTACACTGATATAGCTTATTGCTTCAACCGCACATACTCAAGGTTTTTGTTGTGGTCGAAAGAATGAAATAATCGGATGGCTACTGCTGAGACGATACACAATTATACATCAGGGCTCGGTCTTACGAAGGGTGGATAGCACTATCCGATGGATAATTTCTTATCCAGTGCAGGGATATAGTGATCCAATAAATTTATCCAATGAATAATATTTGTACGTCGGATAGCGCTATCCACCCTTCGTACAACCGGTTCCCGGAACGCAACAAACAGTAAAACCTAAATATTAGCAACAATTAACAATTGTCATCAATTGTAATCATACCACAGGCATGACTCACACTACCCGGAATCTTTGGCTCTAAAGTTCTAAAACTGTCCACCTCATTTTATTGACAACTCTCCATGCAGCGGTTTGTTGGTAGACAATGCATTCCAACGAGGCTGGTAGGTACAAAATTTGAAAATTTCTTTTAAACTGACTACAGTCTGTGCAGTCGCAACCTCAATTCAAGGTTTGGTAATCAACCCGCGACCATTGAACCGACGTATCAGAAAGGGACATGACTAACAGTACGAAATATTTCGATGTATGGATTTTTTTTTTTCTAGTACGCATTCAGTCAACAGATATGGGGATTTCGTAATCGAACACACAACAAGGTCATGAAGTACGCATCAGTCAGCTCTCGGGGTTTTTTTTCTCCTGAGAAACCCTGAAACAGCCTCTGGGCTGATCAAATTCAGGGCATGGCTCACTCACAGATTGAACCCTGAAACAGCCTCTGGGCTGATCAAATTCAGGGCATGGCTCACAGATTGAACCCTGAAACAACCCCTGAGGTGATCTAAGTCGGGGAACGGCTCACTCAAAGATCGAACCCTGAAACGACCTCTGGGGTTATCTGAGTCAGGGCAGGTCTGCCACGACTAACTCACAGATCGAACCCTGAAACAGCCTCTGGGCAGGGCACAGCTAAATCACAGATTGAATTGGTGATTGACAGAAATACCTCATTACGTTTGTTTAATTATGTAAAAACATCGTTGTTGTTTTATTTCACAACCATTTTTTGTAGGCCGCACCTCGCACTCTGCTTGTTCTTACAATTCTTTTGGTTTTCATAAAAATAGTTTTCACGGAATATCAACTAACATGACGGCCACATTTTGATTGATTGATTGATTGATTGATTGATTGATTGATTGATTGATTTTTTTTTTTTTTTTTTTTTTTTTTTTTTTTTGTTCGATTTTCTTGAATAATTGCCAAAGCGAACTCGTTTACTTGGTAAACTGAATTAAATGACATTTTAGATCGTCATCTGTTAGCACGTACGACAGTAGTTATCAGACCAACAGCTGTAGCATTTAAAGTGTTCATGTCAAAACTTCGAATTCAGATTTTCAAAATCCCTATTGGGTTACCTGTGAAAGACGGTTAATCTCCTCCAAACGCGCGCGCGCGAGGTTTTTTCGCGCGCGCTCTACGATGTTCGTGCGCTTTCGCAAGCACGTTAGAAAATTTGAAACGGCAGTCTGAAAATAACAACACGTAAAAACAACTAGCTTATTGAGTTTTGGAGACGAAAGGGTTAACAAATCAAATTTTGAAAAATGAGTTGGGCAAAGGATGAATGGAAGCAGGAGTTGCCTCCGAAAGCACTTCAAAAAATTTGTGATATGGAGAAAGAGTATGAAAACCTTCAGAGACTACGACAACAACAAGACCTCAAGATCGACGGTTATGTTACAGCTCTGGAAAAAGGAAAGATCGATTTGGAAGAAGAAAGATCTTCAAGCGCAGTCTTGCAAAAAGAGGTACAGGAGTTGACTATAAAGGTGTCGAATCTTGAAGCAAAAGAAGAAAGATATGCAAATGAGATTAAAAATAAAGAGAAAGCAGTAGAATACGGCGAGGAACTTTTGGAAAAAGCCAGACATAAGTTAAAGGTGGAGAATGAAAAGGTAATGGAGCTGGAAAAATCTCTAGAACAGGAAAGATCAGAAGCTGAGAAATATGGTGAAAGAAGTGAAAAAATGTCAGTGGAAGTCGGGAAGTTGAAGCAAGAAAAAGCTCATATTAGCAAAGAAAATGAAAGTAAGTCGAAACGTTTTGTATTCAATTTCCTAGGCAACTTGAAGAATGCCGGATCGGAGGATTAATTTAGTTGTTCAAATCTGTTGGATTCTGCTACAACAATGACTAGAGGTACAACTGCTATTGACCTTCCACCCTCGTAGAATTGTTAAGTGGCCGATAAATGAGGTTGCCATCATTATTTATAACAATTAAAGAAGAAACGTTGAACATTAACTCACCGGTGTAGTCTTTGTTGTCGAATTAGGCATTTTAAAAAATACACAAATTTCCTCAAAGAAAAAGGATTCTTATATTTATACACTATCTATTTGTAGACTACAAGGAAAGGTTAGGTGCCCTTACCAAAGAACTACAAACACTACGCCAGATAATAAGCGAGAATGAGCAGAAAGCAATGAAAGTAGCACAAGAAAGTGAGAAAGATAACGACGAGTCCTGTCACCAAGAACCTGTCGCTATGGGCAGCCGTTCTGATGCGCATGCATTTTTGGATATTCTGAAAAAGGAAAATAGGACCTTGCTAAGAGACCTTGAACAACTCAAGCTACAACGAGAACAAATGAAAAGTATTATCGAGGAAAAGACGAACGAGATCGAGAGAAGTGCTACAAAAGTTGCTGAAATGAGAATTGAAGTGCAAGATTTGAGGAGAGAGTTGAAGACCAGCAAAGGAAAAGTCAGCAAACTGGAAGGAACTGTTGAAAGTCGAGATAGAGAATTAGGCAATCTTAAGGAGAAGGTGGCCAAATACAAGGTAAACGAAGAACGAATGAAAAATGAAATAAAGACATTGACCTGGAAGAATCAACTCGAAGCTCAAAACAAACACGATGAATTAGTTGAACAAAGTAAGCGCTTGGAGACAGCAGACGTTGAAAAAGGACGGCGGCCAAGTGATAGTGAGAACCACGCCGAAGAAAGTAAGGTAGCAGCCATGGAGGATAAAATTTGCCAGCTTTCCAAAGAAAATGAAAGCTTACACGAACAACTTAGATGTCTTAGGGAAATCAACAGCGCGCTCGCTGAGAACGCTCAAGAGAAAGACAACAGACTGAAGTTGTATTACAATGAGAAACACGACGAAATCAAGAAAGAAGAAGCTAGACTCGAAAGAGTTGAAAATTTGCTCTTAGAAAATGGAAGGCTGAAAGAAAGAGTACGAGAACTCGAAAATGAAGAAAGAACGTCTTCAGCTAGCGTAAACGTGTGTGCCAGATGTAAGCAAGAAATGATGCCAAATGACGACAACTCAAGCCAAAAGAATTCTGGTGCCGACAAAAAAGAGAGAACATTAGGGAGCGAAGATGGCGCTGACGAGAAAATGGTGACTTGTAAAGATGTGGTATCAACGCCTGAGGAAGTTGATGGTACAACTAATGAAGCGATGGTAAGTCCAATCAAATTGTGTATTTTTTAAAATTTACTATGATATACAGAAGCTTCAAACATGTGTAATCAGGCAACTGAAGAAATGATGAACACAGGCCTAGGAGTCGGACATAGCTTTAGAAAGCTTACGATAATTGTTTAGTTTTATTTACCAAGGTATTTATCATGCGCAACAATCTTGTGGAAAACTAGCGATATTTCCGACGAATTTCCATTTTCCATTGCTGATGCGCAACAGTCGACGCTTTTAAAGCCCAAAGCGTTTTTGTATGCAAAGCGCTTCGGTCATATTTTTTTATCTTGGATGTACCAAAGCGTCAATCACAACGACGACTGTAAGCTAATTAAGATCATATGAAACCCTATTCTACATTGTGGTTAATGCGTAGCGTATAATCTTATTATTTCACATGAATGCAGACTGACAATATGGAAGTTGACGAAGGCCTTCAGGTGAATGGCAAATCTTTGCAAACTGCTGCAGGTGTTGACAAGGAGCAAGTGACGTATCTTGAGCATCGCTATCAAGGTCTTAATAAGGATGCAGAGGATGATGATATTGACGTTATTTCCTGTGCTACCACAGAACACAACAGCAGTCTCCAACACAAAATCCTACAAGTACTTTTAAGTCTTAGTACAATACAGATGGAGCATGAGATGGTTCTAAGAGGTGTCAACAAGTGTTATAGTACTGTGAAAAGGATCAAACAAGTCTTAAACAGCCAGGTCTCTGACACAGAAAACCAAGACAGCATGTCTAAGCTATATTTCGATGTTGATTGCCTCTTCAGCCAATTGAACTCTGCAAAGGCCATTGGGCAGCGATGTACAACAAGTGTCAAGTCTCAGATAGATTCTATTGCTGGATACCTGGAAAAAATCAAAGAAATAGATAGAGACGTTCACGATGACCTGAAAGGTAGTCGCTCGCCTGAACGTGAGCTATCCTGGGATAATTTTGAATCAGAGCGTGCCTTCCAGACGTTCAAAGAAGCCACTGTGGATCCATTGGTAAAACAAATCGAGGACGAAGTGGAGGACACCTTAGCCAAAGATTGCATGAGCAATCTGCAAGCTACAACCAGCAAACAGAATGACTTGAGAAAGGGATCCCAAACAAATAAACAGATGAACCCAATTGACCGCCCTGATTCGGCTGAGCCTGAATGCAAGCCTCATGTGACAGAAAATGCACTAGAATTCGATGACTTTGTTGATGTCTTTAGAAACCTAATGGAAGAAAGTAATGATCTTTTGTCTGAACGGATGGAATCACTGCTTCAACATTTTGAAACCAATATGTTGAAGAACATCGCTGAAATACAAAAGGAAAGACAAAACAAACAGAAGTTTCCAAAGTCTGCTGAAAACAGTAGCAGAGAAGAAGATGACACTGCTGTAGTTAACCCAGGCAAGGAAGAGAAACACATTTTTGAAGAACTGGAGCTGATGAAGAAGAAGATTTGTGGAGTCCAGAAATTAGTCAAACACCTGATGTCATCCATCGAATTGACAAAACAAGAAAAAGAGGAGACACACTCTCACATTGATATTTTAACAACCCAGATGAGGAACATGAGTTCGCATCATGACATGCGCTATACAGAACTAGAAAGAACCTTGAGGACTGCATCAGAACGAGAATTGACACTCCAACGTCAGATCAACGACTTGCAGACAGCAAAGGAAGACATGAGCTGTAATTATAAGGAAAGCTTAGACAATCTGAGACAGAAGGAACAAGAACTCGCCAAACTCTTACAAGAAATCAGAAACATCCAAGCAAAGAGTAAAGAAAACGAACAGAAACTGAAGAATAAAATCGAGGTACTGCAAGGCGAGAAGACATGTGTTTGGCATGACTACATGGAAGCATCCAAGGAAGCTCGAGAAAGGAAGAATGAGATAGAATCCTTGGTTGCCAAAATGAAGAAAACTGAGGTGTCACTCATGTCCTTGTTTAACACCATTGGGAACATTGATGACTTTTTACAGCGTGCTAAGGAAATGAACTTATTTCAATGAATGAATGCTTGCCTCCGGTCATGTTGTTGTTTTTGTTCGTGTGCACCACCGCTGATAGTACATTTATCAGCTACCTTTGGACTATTGATTGTAAGTAAGGCGGTGGTGCTTTAGTAAATTAATATAACTTGTTTATATTTAGGCCAATTTATGCATTTTTAGCTAGAGTCCTAGCCTGTAAGAACTACTTTTTGGGATCGTTTAGCTGGTCATAAGAATTACTGTTATAAGCAGCCATTTTGCATGTGGCATTAATTTGTATAATTTAAGTTCTGAGTCCAGGATTGAATTTTAATAAAAACATTGTAGTACACGTTTCGGCTACTCAACCCTTCTTCTTAGTATTCACAAATTTTCCTCCTCTTCTTTTTCTCATTTAATTTTTTGAAGCTACACAGACCCAGTAGTGTATTTCCATATTTTTTCATGTGTCATTCCCTTGATTATTATTACTATAGTATTATTAATTATATTATTATATTAGTTTGCAAATAATGCTCAAGAGTACAACTACTGAACGAGATTCAAGCAAAGAATCGTATAACACACGGCAAGTGAGTGACAAATGGGCTAAAATTATCACGTGATTGAAATTTGTAACGTGATCGTCTCCCGAGACGTTAGTAGTAGGGTATGCAAGCAAATGTAGTTTTAAAGCAGTTCTAAATATATGTGGAGTGAAATCCCAGATAGATTATGACTATACACGACTTTCAAAAATGGTCACCAAACTCGGTTGGGACTAGAGACAATTGAACGGAAGCGAGGTAAGTAAGATCTCATTAGTAAACAAAGTCTACTCAGTACAATATATTGTGTCAAAGTCATGCACCCTTACTTCAAAAGACGCTTAAAAGAGATGAATGATTTTGACACTAAATATCGTACTGAGTAGACTTTGTTTGCTAATGAGACCTTACTTACCTCGCTTCCATTCAATTGTCCCTAGTCCCAACCGAGTTTTGCGGCCATTTTTGAAAGTCGTGTATAGATTATACTTTGGACCAGAGTTAACAGTTAGAACATTTTTTGTGATATAAACATTTCATAGTCTCCGATTTTGCTCAATGCTCCTCGCATATGGATAGCGTACGACCATTGGGGACGAGATAATACATATTATTTTAACTAAAAGATCAAAGTGTTATGTCAAAGTGTTACCCCTCATCGAGTGATAATTATTGACAAGTGTCCAGTGTTTTGTTATCGGATATAGTCCATTATTAATAAGCAGTATTTAATGTGCGTTCGTATCTTGCTGTTCATTTATCACCTCTGAATTTAATAAAAAAGTTCAGCCAGTCAAGGGTCTTACCGAGATTCGTAAAATAATTCACATTGCTGGTCGTTTTAACGTCCTTAGAGCCAAGGAATGTTATCGTGCATCTAGATTTTGGAAAACCGTGATTTTTACTAATTTGTAGCTTCGTTAGACTTCAGATTTTATGTATAGGAATGTAGTTATACTACTCACAATGGCATACATTTTTATACATTTTAGAAGCAAAAATTTAACTTATATTTATTAGCCGGCAAATGAATCGAAGTTCAGTAATAAGGGAGACGTACAAGACAGAAATGATGAAGGAAAAGTCTTTTTTAGCCTTAAATCATTCAAAGAAATAGCATACTAGAAAAGAAAGCAGAATAGAAATTCACTTACAGCTTTAACTTAATTGATAAATGTTTGTTTTTAACTCCTGCGGTACTAGGGTTATTTCGGTTTTGCATTACACCAGACGGTGGTAATAACGCTAACTTTCTTACCTTTTAATACAAGAGGTACTTTGCTTTGGACTTTCAACCTTAATGGTATTGCAGTTTTTGTTCAGTCTATAACGTGTTGACGAGTTCAGTATTTGCTCATCGATCAAGACATGATATTCTACTATCTTTTCACATTGTCGCAAACAATGTGACCCTTTTTAAACATCGAACACCTCACTGAATTCCGGGCGCATTTTTCACGTAGTTGGAATATTTCGGAATTGCATTCAAAACAGAACGGCTATTCAGATTTACAACGATAATAGGCTTAATTAACTAATTGACGATGTCAAACGACTATAGGAAAGTGAATTTTGTATATGTGTGCTATCCAAACACATTTCTTGTGTCACGCCGGACATCACAATAACATTGCACGGTTCAATTACAGAAAGGACAGAGTGCGGTAGGCATGGGGTTCGTTGAAATGGTTTTCCTTTGTTTCCTTGCGCGTCAATCACCAAGCTTATATACGGTACTGCCACAGTACGACTAAAAATTTGCCGTACGGCGTTTTCCACTCTAACGAAATCTATGCACAGTAACCCTTTGTTCTGATACGAACTGTAGTGACAACGAATTAAAAATCAACCACACCCTAAATCCATTGTTTGATGTAGATTCTTAAATTCTTCGGAAAACCCAGATTCTTAAAGCCGGGGGCGGAATTGATATCAACAGGGGAGAACGGGGCTGAATTATAAACCCGGGATAGGTTTTTAATTACACGGATATATTGTAAGCACTCTATTTCCAAAAGAACAAAGCAACAGTAATCTACYTCTCTGAATTCAATATAATTTAGTATTTCGTGTTTTGCATCGAAACAATGGAATTTAGGGCTTAGTTGATATTTGAAACCAGTTCAAACGCACGGGCTCGGTTTTGCATTAGAATTCAAGACCGAGGACCGCGGGTAGCGTTTGAACCTTTATTTAAAACACAGCGACCAGAAAACAAACATCTGCATTTGCCTCAAACTCGTTTCCAGAGGGAATAACAGTTCACTTTTCATCGTACTTCCCATTTAGAGTTTTCCATTTTTTTCTATTTCGAAACGAATCCAGTATCGTGTCGCAGGCCTTATCCTTGTAATCAGTTCTCCGTGTGTCACTTTCTTCTTGTGATCTCAACCGCTGCAGTTGAGTTGGCAGCAACTTCCCAGAACCATTCCTTCTAGAGAAATAACAGTTGTCTCTGAATTTCACTTATTCAAAAAGATATGCTCTGTCGCCTAAAAATACCACTTGTATAAAATGCCTAACATTGCCAATGTGTTTGGCTTGCGTGTAAGGGCGTATCCCGAAATAGACATTAATTTGACTTGTTTATGAACCTAGCGACACACCCATTGCTCTCTCTTTTGTGTTTCAGCGGATATTGAAATCCTCTGTCGTTGATAATAAATCTAGTATAATAATAAGTTCAGAGTCATAGAAAAGGATGTACTCTGCTGTTATCATTCCCTAGACAATAGAAAGGAATACTGTGGTTTTTCTTGACATAGTTGTCGGTCAATTGATAATAGAGAAAATGGCCTGTTGTTTCCCGAGGTTTTCAATGACAAAAACAGCACTAGTTTTTTGTGGTGTTATATATTCAAAAAAAATATATGAAGCTTTTAATTCTTAGAAACTCGACACAAGTTACAGAATTAATGAATCAGTTAATCGACCATTTGTTCAATATGTTTATACAACTGTTTTTAAAATATTAAATTGAATTATTGTAAATGCGTCACTCAGATGTTTGGAATGAACGTTAGATAATTGCTACGAGATCGTCTGGCAGACAAGAAAAAAAACATAAAGAAATCACAAAGAAGTGTTTATCAAGCAACGGGACCTCAGTAAAGCCGTAATTTAAAACTCCAAGTTTCAAGCTTAATTCTATGAAGGTTATCGAATTGCTATGGTAACTTCTGTGACGTTTCCATGGTATCGATCCACAGGCAACAGGGGGGAAATAATTAGAAATATAAATGGAATTAAAGAGGATTGGCTGAGGAGATATCGCTTCATTCCGGAACGAAGGACTCTACAGTCGCCAAGACGAGAAATTCCTTATCTAAGATTATATTATGAAGCAGTGTTGCTTTGGTTGCAGAGCGTTGCTATGGTTGTTTAGCCGGCGTTGCTATGGTATTATGACCCAAGCGACTGGATGACAGCAAACTGTGCCTCGTTCCATTTACATTTACGTCAAAAAACTGAGTTGAACAGTGTGATCCATCAACAGTTCACCCCGACTCTTAGTCGACTAAGTCAACATTAGAGAATGTACTGCACTGTACATGTATTCAAATGAAAAGCAAAAAATTCTCACCCCACCCCCATAGTTAAATCCCTGGATTTTGGAAAACCTTATTTCGTAATTCGGAGTGGTTTATCAAGCAAAATATTGTAATATGATTAGTTTTAGACTAAAAACTGCCGTCTTTTACTACTCGGAACAATTTCTACACTAGTCTTGGAAATCATTGATCCGTACTTACTTTCAATTTCATACACGTTAAATTAGCAAGTACATCATCTTATTTATATCACTGGGAGAAAGTATATCATCTCATTCATATCACTGATAGACAGGAGGGAGACGGGGGTTGGTAAACATGAAAACGAGACTAGTAGTCATGTCCGAATGTGTATGACATTGCTATTGAGGTTTTGCACCATATGGCAGCCATCACGGGAGACAGGATAAATTGAATCTGGTCTAATCTGATTTACATTAGATAGGATTCAGTTTCCCAGGGGAAAAAGCTATTGTTGTGCCTCCTGTCATGGCTCCTGTCATGCCTCCTGCCATCACGTGATGGTGCAAAGCCTCTATTGAAGTTATGCTGTGTTGTGCTCATTTTCATATTTTCCTAGATAACTAGGAAGACGAAAGAAAATTTGAACGATAATAAATATGCATAAGACACTAAGAGGCTAAAACTTGTTTCTTTTCACTCATTTTTAACTTTTAGGACGACGTACTTCGTAATCATGTTTATCACCACCAGTTCCTACGCTTGTATGAGAGATATAAAGCATAGTCTAGTTATTAAGAGCGGCCGTCTGTAACTGCCGCCTTAGGTGTGTAAAATGATAAAAATCAAAATCCCTCAAACTCTGTCAAAATATAGGTCTTAGGGAACTATTTCAAGAAAAAAAGGTCTAAGTTTCATTGGATTTATATTTTTTGCAAACGGC